AAACCCTGCGGCTCGTGACGACACATTGATGTCCTAAGACACGAAACGATCGGTTTGTGCCAGAAACCGAACCGTATTTATACCATTTTTTTGACCTCTAATACACCACTATGTCCAACTGTATTTGGGCGCGCGCACGGCATCCGGTGCGTGAGGTGAGTACGCGCTCTGGCGTAGTTTACGCAAGCGCCGGAAGTGATCTCTCGCGCGTATACGTCACTCATTGTTTACACAGTGCACAGTCATTGTAGGTACGACGGCTAATCAAAATGGTACTTACTTGCGCTTATCCGGATTGTTCAAACGACTTAAAACTAAAAGATTACGTTCTCTCGCGCGAACTCATTCGGGAGTGGTGACTTTCCACATATTCCCAACTTCTGAGCCTGCTCGCCTGAAGTTATGGTTGATTGCTCTTCGGCTGGATATCAACACACCCATTAACGTAAACTACGCCAGAGCGCGTACACACCTCACGCACTGGAAGCCGTGCGCGCGCCCAAAGACAGTTGGACATAGTGATGTATTAGAGGTAAAAAATATATATAAATACTGTTCGGTTTCTGGCACAAACCGATCGTTTCGTGTCTTAGGACATCAATGTGTCGTCACGAGCCGCAGGGTTTAATTTGGATTTGTCTGTGCATGTTTTTTTTTACTCTCATAGATTTTGTTACCATTGCCATGCATTATACGACGGATAGAGTGCAACGGTTAAAGTTAAAAATTATCAAATGTGTTCTACTGAAGAAACAAAGTCACCTACATCTTGGATGCCCTGGGGGTAAGCAGATAAACATCAAATATTAATTATTGGGTGAACTATCCCTTTAAGTTTAGGTATTGGGTAGGATTAGGGATATAGAATATGGTCATGCAGAATAAGTGCTTTACAAGTACTAATAAACAGCCAATATGTTAATAATAGGCATGCTAATAAGCAACTAGTTAATAGTGAGAATTGGTCCCTATACTGAAGTGTTACCAAGTTTTCCAAAACTTTTGGCCCATTTCTGTTGAAACGTTGCTGTCGTTTAACATTTAAATCATCAGAATTTTGAGGCTTAAGTTAATTTACTGTAATTTACTGGTTTGTTACTTATAATTCCTTGTTATCAGTAATAACAGATTACAGTGGGAAAGCAATCTCTGTGGTTTTACTCTGTGGTGACAATGACTAGCAATGATGAGTCACCTGATTTGTTTGTTTTTTTTATTTATTTTTTTGTTTCGTTTTTTTTTTCCCTTCATAATGCAATCCAGTATTTCATCGCAATGTCATGAGCCAAGAAGCTCACTCTCACTCATCGCTCCTGGCCCGCAGGCTGATTCATCATAGCTCAGCACAACTTGAAATAACAAAACTGAAAAATTCAAATACAATCTAAACAATCAGGACGGCCTCGCAATGCTCTAAGAAAATACACTCTCATATTATTCACAGTCTTCTACCTCTGTCTTACTTTATGATAACTAGTTGGATGAGTTAAAACAATACATCATCCTTTGAATTCCACCCAGAACACATTTCCCTCCTTCTCTTAAAAGGTCACGTTTTATCTCACTCCATTGACTTGAAGACAGTGAAGGCAATTGTTATACTCATGTATAGATGTCAGTCTGGGTTGCAGCTCAGGCTCTCATCCTATGCTTCAACTTCTCTGAGTTATAACACCGAAGGCTAATGACACCAGACACATTTTCAGACTGTGCTCATAGTTTTCCGCTAAATGCATAAAATACATTTTTCCAAGTCATTTGAAGCATTATATCAGATAACTTAGTCTTTTGTTATATAACCCCTTAACCTTTCTCTTCCTTTCACCCGTGCGTTTGAAGTTTCTTCACCGTTTCTTCATCATTAATACAGACTGCATGGTTTCCCTGTGGCAGCCAGATATACACCGTACCAGAAGAACGAGCAAAAAGTGAAGCTTACTTTTGAGCATTTAAAGGGGTCATGTGATGCGATTTCAAGTTTTCCTTTCTCTTTGGAGTGTTACAAGCTGCTTGTGAATAGATAAGATCCCTAAAGTTGCAAAGACTTAAGTCTCAAACCCAAAGAGATATTCTTTATAAAAGTTAAGACTGGTCCACGCCCTCCTAAAACGCCTCGTTTAAACACACCCCCACATGTCTACGTCACTGTGTGGGAAGATTTGCATAACGCTGCACAAATGTTCACGCAAAGAAAAAAGGCGTAACTTTATTGTTGCTGCTGCCACCTCCGCCATGTTGTGAAGACGCTGTGTGTTTCGTTGCAAAAGTGAAACTACTTTGTATGGTCTTCCAAAAGAGGACACACCTAGAAATCAGTGGTTAAGTTGTATTTACAACACTGTTCCAGAACAGTTCAACTCAAATATTCAGATGTGTGCAGCACATTTTATGGAGGACTGTTTCCTGATCCTGGTAGAGTAGACTACAACGCCGGCTGTTCTGACTCACAGACTGTAAGTACGTTTTCACATTTAAAGGATTTGTCACTGACGATTCAAATGCGAGTTCAAATGCAGACATGGTTTTATGTTTGCGTGGCGCGATGCAACGCAACACGTAAAAAGACAGTATAAGTCATTATAATCCGTAATTATGTCCCCACTGGATGCAACAAATGCCTCGTTTATGGTAAGGGACTTAACATTTCCGTCACACTCTTGAGGTATTCGGCCAATCACAACGCACTGGATAGCTGGCCAATCAGAGCAGACCTCGCTTTTCAGACTGATGAGCTTTGTAAAAATTGACGCGTTTTAGAAAGGCGGGGCATAGAGCAGAAACAATACTGTACAGTATGTGGAAAATAATATGTTTTTTTAACCTTAAACCGCATAAACACATTTCATTACACCAAATACACAAAATACTGTTCTTTTTAGCAACATCATATGACCCCTTTAAGACACACTGTTCTAGTACATGAGGGAAAACAGTCTGTTTATGGTCAGCCGGGCATTTAAAATCAAGCTAGCACCTCGGCCTGGTCCAGCCGCAGCCCCTGTGCAGTGTTACTGTGCTCCGTGCTCCATGCTCCTGTCTTCAGCCTGATTGCACACAGTCAGCTAAAGATAACCATGTGACATTTGACTTGACTTTCCATAGGAATTAATTCTAAACAGATGTGGGCGCGTGAGCAAGTGTGTTTTCATTTTCCTCCATTTCAATGGTTGCTTTAAGATTAAGGTGTTTGTCATGTTTCCTCCTGTCATGACTGTACGTGGGCTGCGCAGCCTTGAAAAAATATACTTTGTGTTATTTCAAAAATGTCCTAGTGATTTTTTAATTAGATTGATTGCCATGTTTTACAACTTTTTTGATGACTGTACGTTATTACGTGTCAATAACGTCGTGGGTTTTACTCAAATAGGCCGGTCTTGCCTATTACATCACCTTTGTTTTGTGAGGTTTTTTTTAACGTCTGTTGACCCTGTATTAAATGAACGACTGTGATATGTGCATCCAGTCCATGCATTTGTATTGTCAGCAAAGCCAACGTCTGTATCAATGCGTCAGAGTAGGAAAATGGCATTCAAAGCTGTTCATTTGAATAGAATAGGGTCTGGGGAGTTTGTCTGGTGCATTGTGACATGTGATGCCCTCGATGTGTGGTGGCTCTATGTGTCTGCCTTTTTGGTGGATTATATGTGTTCAAAACAGCACCTCGATCCTGAAGCAACGGTCCGTGACCACGGGGTTGGGGTGAAAATGTTTTCCAAGTCAAATCAGCAGCAGTGCCTGCCAGAAGGACTGTTTGCACTGCAACATGTGGGGACTGCGTATATCGTAACATTAGGGACAGAGAGCATGTGTTTGTGGATTTTCAGTATGGAGGTGGTGCGTTGGTGGAGATTGGGATTTCTGAATATAAATGTATTTTGTTGTGTTTGTCTTGTTTTAAAAATTGCATGGAGTTATGTATTTTAATTTGTATTCTGTTTTCGGCCACCAAAAACGGAGCCAGTGGGTGTTTAAACAGTTGGGAAGCTTTATGTCCCATTATGACATGCAGCACAGTGATATAAGCTTTTCCTTTTTCTCATAACCTTATCGTTTCACATCAAATCTGACTAAAGACAAAGCTCAGAGGCAAGAGTGCTCAGGAATGTGTGGGCATTCATGTAACACCTGAATTGAAAGGCCTTGCAGTGTTTGTGCATTCATGTTGCTGCGTGTGTGTGTGTGTGTGTGTGTGTGTGTATTTCTCTTTCTCTTGCTAGGTATATAGAGAACTTCAAATAAATTCGGCTTGAATCGTATAAATTCTAAGTTAATTAAAAACAAATAAATTAAGAAATTTGTGTCTTCCATTTGCCATGTATGGTATTTATCTTTTAAATTAAGACAAATACAGTCATTTAAATTAAGACTTTTTTGTCTACTATTCTTTATGACTAGTATTTATTGTTGGTAGATTAGTAAGTTGAACACATGAGACAAAAGTTTTTGTAAAACCAGACTTTTTTCATCTGGTTGCTCTCCATCAATATTCAAATGGCAGAAGAACTAATACTGCTAAAATTTAATCTCTGTATAAATGACATTTATCTACTAAATTAATAACAATTGTCTAAAGCATTGTTTTTTTTTAATGGGATGAGGATTTTGATGAACTATATAATCTTTCATTTCATCAGCAGAGATTGTTTTTAAGTATATAATTAAACAATAAATATTAAACTATTATTATTTACAGTAGTTATAATTAGTACACTTAATTAATTTTTTTTAATTAGTAGTAATAATAGAGACGATAAGTATTTATCAGATCAGTATTATTAGTATTTATAGTATAGTATATAGTAGGACTATGGAAATATAATTAAAATTTTCAACAGAATTAAAGTAGGCAACAAATTATATTCAACAGTTTTTGTTTTTTTACACGTCTCTTTTAATAAGATACATTCAATTTCATTGTGCAATGTCTGGAGGTGTGCAGCTTCACTGATCATTAATGTTGCATGTATAAATGCTCCTGTTAGAATGTGCGTCAATGTCCCACATAATGCCTCTTCTCCCTGGTGCCGTGTCAATTGCACTTCATTCAACGTACCTTACAATCTAATAAATAAATGTAATAACTTTTCCCAAGAGCTCTGACATAGAGTTTTAGTGAAGTGAAACTGGTATCCAAAAAGACGAAAATGTGATTTTTATCAAAAACATAAAAAAATAAAAAAAGAGAAACAAAGCAGAACATCTAAACATTAGCCATTTTCAACACCCTGAAAAAAAACATTTAAATGCAAACTGGTCATTTGTTTTACATGAGATTTGCTTATTCAATCATTTTCTTGGAAACATACAAGAACAACATATTCACAGAGAAGCACCAAAATTTAACTCAGGCTAGTGATGACGCAATTTCATGAGGAATGCCCACCACTATCAGACCAAGTGCACTGCACACCATTGCTGATGTTCTTTACTGCTAAATCCTCTGCTCAAATCAGATCGGACAGGATATCCTGTTTGCATATCCTCACTCTTGCTCTTTTGTCTTGTGCAAGTGAGAGATGCTGATATGGAGCAAGAGAATGTGGGCATACAGAACGGCAGATGGCTCATCCGACAAGTCTTTTATAAATATTGTAAAGCGATAAGATTGGTCCATCTAGAGAGAGCCAGGATGAAAAAGTCCAAGTTGTTGTGTTTTACCCCATCGCTCTCGTTCTCTGTTGTTGTCTTTCCTTCTGCTCTTTGACCCCCTGTGCTCCTAGTACAGTCACAGAGCCGAGGCGGCAACCAAATGGACGGAGTCTTGCATGGTAGCCGTGCTCTTGAAGGCCAGCGGGGTGGTGATGTCACAGCTGTGGGGAGAGAGAGCACTGCCACTGGGCGGCTGCCATGTGGGGCCGGTCACATAGGCCGACGTGGTGCCGCTGTACCCCATGTAGGGTGACACTTGGGTGGGAGGGTGGTAAGGATGGATGCTGGGAGCTGTGACATAACTGTTCACTGTGGGCAATCCATTCGGCGTCTGAAAACAGAGAGCAGGGAGCATAAGACTTCTGGCCGTAGACCACACATGGCCATTGAGATGAACATAACGATATCACGATAGCGAGGATAAGATAGAGACAGGTGAATGTTAAAAACAGAAATGGGCATTTTCTTGGAGAGTCTGTGAATGGAGATAAGGGACAAGATATTAAAAGATTTGATGGAAATGGAAAAGCTATATGGAGGGAAATGCAAGAGCAGGAATGTCTGAAATCCTTTGGCAGAATGGCAATATCAGTTCAGGATGAGAGGAATTGACCAAGGCTTTTCAAGATAAAGGAAGAAATTCTAAGGCAGGGTGGTCTCTGACTACTGGAAATGTTTTCCACAGATGAAATCCCCTTTGTTGCAGAGTTAGGATTTGCCTATGATTGACTCATTATGACACTCTTGACCCCTATAGTGCACCCATGTACATACATGTATATGGTATTCGTTACATTTTTAATTCATTACTTAAACAGCATAGAAAACAACCCATTTGCATTCTGCAACGATCTATCTTTCGTTGTATGATTCAAGTCATGCACGAACTAATAAAACAAAAACGAAAATGAAGTTAAAGCTATAGCAGACATTTAAGGTTAAGCTTTACATTAAAAAAGAGAAACTTTAAAAACGTTACACTTCTAATGAAGAATTCACATGGATATTTTTTTGTCGGACACTCCATACAGCCTACCGGCGTAAAGTATGTGACACACAGGCTTATAGATGAACATTTGTTTTGAACATTGTTTTGTTAGCTTCTTTCAGTATGATTTTACTAATGATCTGATGTACTCTTTACACATCGTCAATAAAGAGTTATGATTTACCGAGCTCAAAAACCAATCGTCGGAATTCATCAGCCCTAAACCACTGCGCGAATAGAACAAAATATATATATAGGCCCTATTGATTCCAAAATGTTAGATAAAAACGTATTTGTGCTTATTCGTTATATTTTGCAACAGAATGTGTGCTTTGTTGTTTATTACAATGGATGTAGAATAGGCCTAATGTATATGCAAGGTAATATATTTCCAAATAAATATTTGTGCAGTCTCACTTAGGAGTTGACTAAAATAAGAAGTGACAACTTATTTTTAAATGATTTCTTTCAATCGTTAGCTGTATTTTAGGTATGAACAGATCATCATTTTTCAATTATCGTTTTTCGACATCCTAGATAATAGACAATAACTTTAAATGAAGTAAACTTAATGTTAGTCATCTTTTATCCTGTAAATTATATTTCTATCTTGGCTATTGTGTTTGTTAATGAACCATGTCATCACGATGTGTCTAGAGGATTCAAATAATAGACATACACTTATATCGCGTTATGCTTTAAGGTTAAGATAGTTAAATATAATATTTGCATTTGGGATTAAACAAAGGTTTTCGAAATACGACTAATAATGCTCAGTAAATTGAATATTTTATTGGCAGCCTACACCTTAATTCACTGCACAATAAATTTAAATGAAATGTATGGATTCGGTTCAGTTATGAGAGACGCATAACATAATCTATTTTCATTAAAATCGTGTGAATGACGATTCATTTTCAGTTAATCTTTATGGTTTTTATTATTCCCTTTTTTCAAGCTTATAGGGCTTTCTGACATATACAAATAACTTATATAAACCACAGTGATTTATCTATTTTCTGTCCTCGTTTATTGCGTAATCCAGCCTGACTCGTGATTTCTGATCATTTATCCAAGATGACAGACTCAAACATTCGGTAGTTAGTGCTATTCATCACCTATCCGAAGGTTACAATCTTCATTTCTTAAGCAAACTACACTCTAATCTTTAGGCTTCAATTAGTACGCGCGTACTTTACGCCAAAACAATATTTCAGCATCAGTAACAAAGATTTATTCCATCGTATTCCATCGTATTCCACGACACATAAATCTCTAAGACCCACAACAAACGATTAGTCAATCTGTTTGTTGCCGCCCAGCAGTGCACGAATAAATAATTCGAGCGTCTGCATCGGATGGCAAGCGCTTTATCCGCTCACACTGTCCCCTCTCATTCCCCTCATTCAAGCGCAAGAGCATCCAGACACTGGTGCAGGAGTTTCTTGATAAATATAAAAACAATTGTCTTTCACATGTCGGTACGGCGCTTAAGTGTGTAACAACAGTGTGCAGAACAACCAGCCACGAGCCAAAGGGGTTTCCATAATAACATATTAATAACAATAATACTGAAAATGATGATGGTAATATCTATCCGAGTATTGCTCTAATGTAAAACAGGTAAGGGGTATAGCAATCCAAAAGTTTCTGGTGAATATAAGATTGGGCGAATATAAATAATTTGTAATACACGTGTTTATTAAAGTATAATAGAATGCATATTTATTGACTAAGGAGCGGTGGCTTCAAGTGTAAATGCGCATTAAAAACAAAGATAACCACTTTTAATAATGATTTATTGATTTTTACATTTTACATATATGTAAAGCAAATGTTTAAAGACTTAATGAAAGATAATAAGTAACTGATAAGACTTCGATAAGCGTGCACAAAATATTTACAGTCTGAAACTGAGCTATATAATAATTAATCATAAAAATATTGAACCTTATTGTTGCTCTATTTTATCTTCGGCTCATTTGGGATACGCGCATGCTACATAGAAATCATAAGTCATTTATCTGGACAAAATCATTTTCTTCTGAAAAAAAAAATTTCGTTAAATCATAGAAAAACATATTTTGACTATGAAGTAAAATACACGTTTATGACAAGTAAAAAGCATAATTCAAGTAATTCAAGTTTCTTAATCAGGAAAAAATATTGGTTAAATGTTTAAAAACTATGCAAAATATTAGATCAAAACGTTTATTACAAATGTATTTGTCATAGTATTTCACTCAGTGTTACGCTCTTTCAAAAAGTATCGACTAATATGAATACATTTTGATTCGAGGGTATTGCACGCATACAAAAAACTTCGTAGTCATGCACATTAACAGCTGTGCGAAAACAGACACCGTTAGGCTAAATAGTGTTGTTAATTTTATTACAATTAAAACGTGAGATACTGTATGTAATTTGCAAATACTTCTTATTAAGAAAATGAAACCCAGGGACCCACACTCTGCACAAGGCCTCATATGCCCGCCCACGCCAAAGAAACACTCGCATACATACTATATCACACACACACACACACACACGGAATTGAGAGAAAAAAGTTATGGAATTTTTACTATTAATTTGCTGAATCAGATTTTCTTTTTCTTTTCTTTTTTCCCCCTGCTCCTTCCAGATTGGATTTGATTGGTTTGACTATTTACATGGGAGGCTTCTTTACCTGTGTGTATTTTGCTTCTGGTTCTAAGTGAGGCTTATCCACACCATTGACTAGTGAAGAATTCGCTGGTGAAAAATTACTCCTGTTAATAGCTCTCCATTCTTCTAGTTTGGTGCTGGGAAAGGACGGACTGTCACAAACTGGGAGGCAAAACAGAGACATGGAAGACTGGAGTCAGACAGGACAAGCGTGGGGAGTAGAACTGCCACAAGAAGAACTTATTCAGTAGCTACAGTCTGCTGCACTGCCAACCATCTCAAACTCACCATACTCACTAAACACACAAAAAAATGGTGTATCACGTATATATGTCGTATTATATATATATATATATATATATAAACAGCGTGTGCAGTCTTTACCGCAAAAAAAAGGCTCAAACGCGTATTTTATAAGCAAGTTATGATCATAATGAGGTAGGCTATAGCATGTTTTTAAATTAAATCAAATGTATGATGTCCTTACACGTCGCATATATGCGATCTTTCTGTTCAAACGAAGATGCAGAAGAGATATCAAAATTTGAATTGATGTGGTTAATTCATCAGATGAAGCACACTGTCATGGAGTCCCTCGGAACATTGACCCAGAGTCTTCCTGGGAGGACAAATTAGATTTACTTTAACCGTTTCCACTTTGTGCATGATGGATATTATATTATACACGGTTCCTAAAGTTTGAAATTGGAAAAGCAAGCCCACCAGTGTTGTAACCTGAGAGGGCCACAAAGTAGTTTGTTCCCCCTGCCTTCACGGAATCTGTGTGTCTTTGTATCGTTTCACAAAGTATAAACAGGAATTCACCATAACGTTGCCACATTTTGTTGGAGCTTAGTGCAAATCGGTTGTATAGACTTATCAATTTAGTTGGTCTTTTATTTTAAAAAAGGTCGATTAAGGGTACACAAATCTAGAATTACAACGACCAAATGTAATTAAAATGCATGCTTAGCATGAAGACAGATGCAGATGTCGTCTGAGCATGAACAACTATTAGTGTCTATGTGTGCATGAGAGGGGGGGGGGGGGCGGGGGA